GGGTTGTATATTGACACTGTAAAATACAAATTCGGTATTAAAATACCTGGTTTTCTCTAAAATATTTCAAAAAAATTTTAAAAATTCAAAAAATCTTAAAAATTTTTTAAATTAATTTCCCTTTTCAATTTTTTTTTTTGTTCTCATGCATACGGTCAAATCCTAAAAATTTTTAAAGTATATTTTTATTAAAAAATTGTATATTTCTCATGTTTTGAACATCTAAAAATTGGATATCATAATCAGTTTATGATCATCCATTAGGGTGTGACCAAAATATTAAAAAACTTTTTTAAATATTTTTTAGGGTCTTGATGTAGATTTCACTATTTATGGGATGCAAAATTACACGATAAAGTACACCCTCAGGTATTTAAAAATGTAGATTTCACTATTTATGGGATGCAAAATTACACGATAAAGTACACCCTCGGGTATTTAAAATATAAGGTGTAAATAAATGTGATGCTAAAATTCAGACTTTAGAATGATTAAGATTTAACCTAATAAGGTAGAGATTTTTTCATGAAGAGAGATCTTCTTTGAACCTTAGAAAAAATCAACGAATAAAAACTCGACTTATAAAAAAATAATCAAATAACAATGCAGCTTACCTTAGGTAGGATGCATTGGGGGTGATATATCTTTTCCTTACACTATCAGTTTCTTTCCCAGACTCTCACATATCATAGATTTCTAATGACTATAATATTAGGTGATGACTTCTAAATATTACTAGACGACATTGCGACTTCTACCTTGTAACAGTATTTTAGAAGGAGAAGTACGATAAAAATATATTTTTTTTCCTGGTTGATTTTCTTTCTCTCTTTCATCTCGGAACTTACCATCCAAATCACAATTTTAATGCTATTTAACTTGTGATTTTTATCTTGAATCATGAACAAATTTGCGAAGAGATGGTCACCGTCATCATAAAGTTGATTTTCTATCCACAACAATCATTTTTATAAAATGACATTGATGGACTACGTAGAAAAAAATCATAGCTACGTGCAATGACTATATAGTAATATCGGGATTGTTCTGATCATATATAACTACAATTACCTAACCATTTGATGATTGATGATCTATCGTTCCAATGTTTGAGTTAACCTTGCTCCCAAGAAAATAATTCAAATCAAATATCCTCTAAACAATAAAAACAAAATACTTGAAAAAAGAATACTTTTATTGGTAAACAAAATGTTTTAAATAATAAAAAAACAAAAAGAAATAAACAAGAATCAAAACACTGCATCATTTATTATTCTTTACATGAACAGAAATAATAATTGATTTAATTGACACTCACGTATACATTTTTTTTTAATGGTCATCTATAAAAAGCATCATCACTTTCCATATATTTTTTAAGTGACATCCAATAAAACTTCAAGCTGGATCACATTCTACTCTAAAAGGTTAAACGATGAAGTATTAAAATCCCTAGCATATGCTTTCTGGGTGCTTTTCATTGTTTTGTTTTAAAGAAAATAATCGGGAGCTAGAAAAATAAAGAGTTCAACCAGGTTTTTGAGCTCGTAACAAAGGCAAAACCATGCTGATAGTTGTTAATTGTGTCCAATGATAAAAGCTGAGATAAAGAGATTTTTTTTTTAAGTTTTAGTTTTGAGTTCTGAAGTTGCTAATATTATTTATTATTTAAAATTTATTAGAGTTATTAATTTTAAAATTTATAAAAATTAATTGAGATGTGTGTGAACTTATCCGAGTATCCTCGCATGAATTAAAAAAAAAAATAGTACTTAATTATTTTAAACACCTTTGCATCTTCCATTTTTAGATCTGTGTTTAATCTATATTACCTTCCCCTACCCCTAAAAAACAAACGAATCTGTTCATGTTCCTCAAAAAAACCTTTTTTTCACTGTATCTTCCTCATCTGCTAAAAAAGGAGGTGTTGTAGCATTGCTAATAGCACCTTAAAAATTAAAAAAACAAACATGCTGCCAACTGCATTTCTAGAAATATTCCTGCGGGTATTTAAAAATTTGATTGTAATTATTTTTTTAATGAATTAAAATAATATTTTTGAATTTTTTAAAAAATATTTTTAACATTAACCCATCAAAATAATTTAAAAATACTAAAACAATTAATTTAAATTTAAAGTAAATAGAAAATAAAAAAATAATTTTTTTAAAACAGAAAAACAAAAATAACTCTATGCAGACCAAACCTATCCATGAGTAGCCGTGGCGCACTCTTTTCCCGGACACTGCACTTTATAGAGTGCGCTATTCTTCTGTCCATTCCCAAAGAAACTTTAGAAACAGTATCATACTCTGATATCTTGCAATACAAGGGAACCATGGCATTGCAGAAAATAAAAGCCATAAACATTGCTAGCAGCCTTAAAATATTCAATTTGTTCAGTGGAAAGTCACAAACAAAAGACGTCTCTCCACTCCAATCCCTTCCCTTACATTGTTTCTTTGACTGTTGCCAGCACCCACGATTCTCCCGGGATGAATCATGACTAGCCACGGCATCATTCACTTCCCCATTCCAATCCAGGTGGACCCCAATGTTGGTGTGGACCCATCTCTTTTCTACCTACTAGCATGCGCACGTTAGAGCATTTCACTGCTTTTCCCCAACTCTCCGGCGGGAGTGCACGCTAGCAATTTAAAGCAAATCAAACACCAAGGGGCACGTCCCACCTAACTAGAGCCGGAAAGTGAAGTGCCCGGTTTAAACTCCGACATATTGAGCACTCAACATCGAGACCAGGGCAGGAAAAAGTAAAGTAAAAACTACAGAAGTAAAGAAAAAGAAACAGAGCGAAAATAACAAAAGTACAAATAAATGCGTTTTAAAAAAATCTAAATCTCGAAAGTACCCCTGATCCAGTGATCCCTTCAAAATCCTAAAATTTAATTTCTGAGCAGCCTCAATTTCTACGTGTGGATGGAGCTGAAGAAGCACCAAGATCAGAGGCTCCCTGAGAGGAAGGGGCAAAAAAGGAAACTTGAAGGGGAAATCGAGGAGGAGCAGAGAGAGATCTCGGCGGTAGAGGAGGCCGCTGCAGCTCCCTACGGCGAGGCACGGAAAGTGATATTGAACGAGGTTTATGCTCAGGTTAATATCCTCAACTCTACCTTCTCATGGGACGAAGCTCATCGCGCCACCGCCAAACGCGCTACTCACGTCCTCGCAGAACTCGCAAAAAACGGTAACCGCTATTTCCTTAAAATTTCTGTACCTTTTTTTTTTGTTCATGAAATAGGATCTAGTTTTAAATAAGTGTATTTTCGCATGTCTTGCTTATAAATTGAGGAATTTGTTATAGAGGAAGTAGTGAACTTGATTGTTGAAGGAGGTGCAGTTCCTGCACTGGTTAAGCATCTTCAAGTACCACCGTCAAGTGAAATTGATCATGATAATTCGAAGCCGTTTGAGCATGAAGTCGAGAAAGGAAGTGCTTTTGCGCTTGGGCTGCTTGCAGTCAAGGTGAATTAGTTCAATCACTTTTTAAATCTGTGTGTTGGATGTGGTGTTTGGATAGTAGAGTGAAGAAGATTTTGATTAAGAGGTTTCTATCTCTGCATAGAGAACTTGTTGGAAAATGTTTTATGATATGCTGATTTTGTTAAAGGAATATAGCTGTGTTGGTGATCATGTACTAAGTGAAATTCGTTATTTTAATTCCTTACAAAGGAATTAGCATACAAGAAGGGATTATTTGGGTAGTCGGTTGATTTACTTTGTCGTATGAACGTTGTAGTTGTAGTGGCACAGATCCAGTCCTTGTTTGGAGTATTTGCAGTATATTATGTGAATATTGCCCACGGAATGTTACAACCGAAGCCATGAGGAAAGCAAGGGTAGCATATGGAGCACACAATGTGCTGAAGACTAAAGCATGTAGGATTGTATATATACTCAAGTTTGTTTTGAAGAAAAATATAGGTTGTGCTTGGTTATGCATTGGCAACTAAATCAATGTGTAGTTTCTTATGAAGGAGTTTGAGGCATTAATCTAATGTATGAAACTGTTAAAAATAACATTTAAAACATCATTTGAATGAAGCACATCTAATGTTTGAAGCATTGAATGATTCATAAATGTTCACGTTGTACCCGAATACATATTTGGTTTAAGGCTTTTGAAAATTTTGGTTGGCAAATAATCCAGATATAATGAGTGAACCTGTGATGTCCCCCGAATCTCACTTTTATCTCCTATCTTTTTCTGACAGCCAGAGCATCAGCAACTCATTGTTGACGCTGGGGCTTTGTCACATCTTGTGAGCTTGTTGAAGAGGCAAAGGGATGTTGACAAGGATGGTTCTGATTCTCGAGCTGTGAATAGTGTTATTAGGAGGGCTGCTGATGCTATCACCAATCTTGCTCATGAGAACAGCAGCATTAAAACCCGTGTTAGGTTTGCTAATTTTGTTGATAATTGTATTTCAATTCTGTATTCGGCAGTCTGCTCGGTATTCTTATGGTCTCTGGAACTGGACATGCAGGATGGAAGGTGGGATTCCTCCTCTGGTTGAGTTGCTTGAATTCACTGACACAAAGGTGCAAAGAGCAGCTGCTGGGGCACTTCGAACCCTGGCTTTTAAGAATGATGAGAACAAGAATCAGGTGATTGGACCTTCTTTAGTAAGTTTGACTTTTATCAGGTTGGTTGTATAAGGAGTAAATGCTAATTTTTCTTTTCTTTTCTGATATTGCAGATTGTTGAATGCAACGCCCTTCCCGCCCTTATATTAATGTTACGATCTGATGCTGCTGCCATACACTATGAAGCAGTACGATATTTCAAACTGCCTTCTGTGATTAATTTTGAAATCTGCATGGGTGAGGAATTTTTTTTGCACTTCTTGTTTTCATCAACCTTTTCATGTTTGCAGGTAGGTGTGATTGGAAATCTGGTTCATTCATCCCCAAGCATAAAAAGAGAAGTTCTTGCTGCTGGGGCTCTCCAACCTGTTATTGGTTTACTTAGGTTTGTCTGGTCCCATAAACTTGTCACCTTGAAACTCTCTTTAAGCTAGGCTTGGCAGAGTTTGAATGATACCTAGTTTTTAAAATTTCCAGCTCATGTTATTTTCTTTTGCAATTTCTTAAGTTTACTCTTTTGCGCAGCTCCTGCTGCTCTGAGAGCCAAAGGGAGGCTGCTTTATTACTTGGACAATTTGCAGCAACAGATTCAGATTGCAAGGTGCATTGTAACACCCTTTGTATTTTCCCCTTGAGTTCTCCTCTCATCTAGCTTGTCTCCTGTATATTTTTGTTCTTTTATTGTTTCTGAGTTTTCACATCTATCTGTAGCTCTTGAACTGATAGACAACGCACTAAAGAGTGCACCTTAATCTGTTGAGGCTTGTTTGCCTGACCTTTTCTGATTTTCCAGTCATTTCTATTTCTGTTTTCTCTGCAAGCTCTTCTTTTGTTTTGGTAAATTGGAGAATAAGTTATTTGCAGGTGCACATTGTACAAAGGGGTGCTGTTCAACCTTTGATCGAGATGCTCCAGTCTCCCGATGTCCAACTGAAAGAAATGTCAGCATTTGCATTGGGGAGGTTGGCACAGGTTACCATTTTTTTTTGTTTCACTTACTCTATTTGTATAAAAGTACAAAGATACCAGTTACGGATGAAACAATGTTACATTTGCTGGTGGAGTTAGCCACATTTTTCCACCAAAATAATGTAGATCTGGCCAGTAATGATTTTATAGTTACATAATTTGGTTTGTGTTATAATTTGTATTCTTTGCCTTTTCCATCTAGCAAGTTGAATTCTCAAACAGAGTAATGAAGTATTTGTTTGCTCTTATTACAATTTTCTTCCTTCCTCTCTCTGCTGCAATTGGGGATGTTGCCCTTTTTTCACCTTTCCTTAATTGCTAATCATTTTTTGTAAGCTCAATTTTTTTTTTTCGCATTGTAATCTGCAAATGTTCATACCATGTGCTCGTTGAAGATTTTCTTTGCTGTTAAGCTAACTTTTTGTTTTGTTTTATTCCTTAAAAGCTGACCAATTGCCGTACTTCAAATTATTTTTCATCAAATGTGCAAGTGTTCTGCAACACATTGTTTTACTCAAAATTCTGGAGGACTTAAGAAGTAATAATATCTTTGAGCAAGTTCTTATTTGCAATTCAGCAGAATTTTGGCTGGATGGTTCTTTTTGGGTTGAAGAAGTTACTCAATTTCAGGTTAAAAAAATTACTCAATTTCAGGACACGCACAACCAAGCTGGTATAGCCCACAATGGTGGTCTAGTACCATTACTGAAGCTTCTGGATTCAAGGAATGGATCTCTTCAACATAATGCTGCATTTTCTCTGTATGGCCTTGCAGATAATGAGGTATTGGAATAATTACTGAATTCTTTGGAACTTGAACAAAACTATGGTGTTTGTTCCATTTTAATAAGAATTTTATTAAACTGCAAGTCTTTCTAATCTAGTATGATCTTGTGGTGTTTCATTTCTCCAATAGGACAATGTCTCTGATTTTATCAGTGTGGGAGGTGTTCAGAAGCTGCAGGATGGAGAGTTTACTGTTCAGGTATGCAATTTTCTTCATTTATAGTTGAACAGTAGCTGTTATGTCTATGCTCATATACACGCCTATGCTGCTGATGCTATATTACTTTAAGCAAATGGTAGCTTGAATATTTTCATGTTGGGACCAAGATGCATGCCTTCCCATTGTGTTTTAATCTGATCTACAATGACCAATATAAATTATTAACATATTTCCAGGCAACAAAAGATTGTGTAGCCAAGACTTTGAAAAGACTGGAGGAGAAGATTCATGGAAGAGTGAGTTTTTTTTATTTACTCTTTTCCTGTCCCTCTTCCTTTTGTCATAAAATTTGGCGATATCCAGTTGTAGAAACTGTAGCAGGTTTATGTTTCTTCAGAGTTTTATATCCGAGCCTCTAATTTGAAACTGTATAATTTTCATATGTAGGTTTTAAACCACTTATTGTATCTCATGCGTGTAGCGGAGAAGGCTGTCCAACGACGTGTTGCTCTAGCTCTTGCACATCTTTGTTCCCCGGATGACCAGAGAGCAATATTCATTAATAATTGTGGCATGTCCCATTCTTATTAATTACACGCGATGTTAAATTTTAAAAAGAAGAAAAATCTTACTATTTTTATTTATTTGAGTGCAGGATTGGATTTACTCCTTGGGCTTCTTGGCTCTTCAAGCCCGAAGCAACAACTTGATGGAGCCATAGCTCTTTACAGGTTGGCCAACAAAGCAACGACTCTTTCTCCTGTGGATGCGGCTCCTCCTTCTCCAACACCCCAGGTGTGTTTCCTCTCTGAACTCTTTGGTCTTTTGTTCATGCATTTTGTTTTGCTGTGTAAACAAATAAAAATGTCTATTTGTTGGGTATGCTTCCTAGTATGAATACGTGGGTATTCTGAAATTTATGGTTGTATCGTTCTAGTTTTGGTTTAGAACAAGTTAAATAAACATCAAGTAAAATTTTCGAGCATGTTTAATGCATGTTGAATTTTTTATCATGCATTTGCTTTTGATGCTGTTTTATTATGTAGTCTTTGTTTCACAACATGAAAGATAATCTATACTTCAAAATCTCTTGACTATTGAATTTTGTATGATAACAATTAATTCTTTTCGCAGGTGTATTTAGGAGAGCAGTATGTAAACAATGCTACATTGTCGGACGTCACCTTTCTTGTCGAAGGTTGTAAATTATAAGTTCTAGATACTGCTGTATTACTTGTTTAGGATACCTGACTTGCTATTTTTGTTTTAATGCAAAGTAATTTTGTTGCTTGCCCCTGATGAGTTATGTAATTGACTTAATTTGTACTGCAGGTAGACGATTCTATGCCCACAGAATTTGCCTGCTTGCTTCCTCAGATGCATTTCGGGCAATGTTTGATGGTGGTTACCGGGTAAGAAATTGTAATTGTGCAGATGTCATGGTTTACCAGCCATTCTTTGTGTCCCCCTTGGGGAAGGGCGCGAGAGATGGCTGTTTTGGAACTTTATTTTACTACCCAATCTTCTGTTGCTATCTGAACTAATTCAACTGAGATAAATCATTGGCTTCTGTTTTCAATTTGTTCAGAGTTATGCTGTGTGTTAGTCCCCTTATTGTGGACGTCAAACTCAATGCGATACGTAGTAATGTATTCAGTTTTGTTGCATAGCCTGAAATCTAGATAGGATAGGCAACTTGAGTTGCTGTGTTATGCATCAGGCAACCAAGATGGTTACAGCATTCATGTCCATCTTGATTAATTCCTCTGCGTCTAACAGGAAAAGGATGCAAGGGACATTGAAATTCCAAATATCAGATGGGAGGTTTTTGAGTTGATGATGAGGTTTGTTGGAATGTAAAGTTCACGCTTTCATAAAACGAACAGCTATTGAACTTGTTTCTGTTTTCTACAGATTCATATACACAGGTGCAGTAGATGTTACATTAGGTATCGCACAGGATCTCCTCAGGGCTGCTGACCAATATCTCTTGGAGGGGCTTAAGCGACTATGCGAGTATACCATAGCACAGGTAAGCCATGGAGCTTTTGTTTATACATGTGAATATTCGATCTTGCACTGCTTAAGTTGAAAGCCGATGTCTGATAAACATTTTATGTTTGCTTAAGGATATAACATTGGAAAACATTTCAAGCATGTATGAACTTTCGGAAGCTTTCCATGCTATTTCATTGAGGCACAGATGCATTTTGTTTATTTTGGAGCAGTTCGATAAATTGAGTGATAAGCCCAGGTTTGTTGCTTAACTCCTGCGCTCTTGCTATCTTAAAAAATGCCATATGGCAATGAACATAAACACATAAATATTTGCTTCTGATTCCATTAGAAAAGACAGGAAAAGGAGTTATATTCTGGGAAGAAAATTTTTAAAAATTAAGATCATTGGGTGTCTATCCCAATTAACTATTATATGCTTCTAGCATAGATCTTTCCACTCACTAATTTTGGAACTGTCCAATAGTTTTCTAGAATGTGAAAACACTTGTTACACACAAAAAAAGAACTGGTTCCAAACTCTCAACTGGTTCTTGATGTTATTTTGTATACTGATATTGCAGGCACTCTCAATTAATCCACCGTATAATACCTGAGATTCGTGATTACTTTGACAAAGCACTCACCAAACCTAACCAACATAACTCTCGGCTCTAGGTGGGCTGGTTTTGATTCTTCCTATCTGACTAGATATTTTTGTACAGAAAGTGTTAGATGTTCTCATTGATGCTGAGCCATTGAAATATTCTAATAGGTTGGTTAATAGTATGGCTCCTAAATTCTTAATCTTTCCTGTTGCCTGAGTTGCGTTGCATGTTAGCACTCTGTAACTTTCCACATTAGTTCCGCTGAGATTGTTGATGGAAACACGGGCCACCTCCAACATGATTGTGTTCATGGATTGCGATGTTCTTGTATTATCTGATTGGCATTAGCGGGAGATGCATCTTTTTGTGCGCAATAACAGAGTCGTTGCTTGAAGCAAATTCTTGGCAAACTAAAAAGTAGGAAAAGATTCCAGGTCTAGAATCTCTTTCCTTGAAGGGCGTAGTCTCGGAAAGTGACTTTAAGGTGAACTACATGGCTGAGGGTGGACTTGGAGGAGTGGGGCAATGGGCCTCCCAAATTATTAAAAGAACTGTTTGTCACTTTTAGTTCTAGAGTTCAAATTTACCCTCCGTATTTAGACGTTTGTGCTCTATATTTCTTGAAACTCTCTGTGCCACGTTATCTTTGAATTCTATCCCCCCGTGTACATGGGTTAATGTAAAACCATTGTTTACCCTTTTCGGGTGCTGTGATTTTGGGGTATGATTTTTTTTTGGGCTCCTCCACATGATTTGGTCGATCATTATAGATGCTCAACTAATTTTCGAGTTTTAACTTTTTAAGTTATGCCCCAGAAAGATAGCAGCTAAAATTATGTATTTTTTAACCAGGACAGCGTAGGAGTAAATGAAACTGGCTTGCATTTGGTTGCCAATGCAAAATTTTCACACAAATGCGCGTCTTTTTCATGCCAAACATTTATTACTGTTGTATGGCAACGAATATAACAATTGCTTGCAAATAATCTTCTAATGCAAATCGACCAGCTTACGATCAACTCCCGCGAGGTGAGCAAGTTTTTCAAGTACGGGGTCGGGGCCGCAAATGACGAGTGTTGGCATGCCTGCTCAAGAATATTAGAAACATAATTATTACATTCGGATTGGCCAGGTGAGTGAATTTGATAGTTAGATTGGTTTGGATTTGTTACAAAATTTGCCGGTGTAATGACTTGGTTAAATTTAATTGACCTGGTAATTTGGGCGAGCCTTGATGGGATTTGAAACCTATTGATACATGTATTTTATATTTAAAAAAAAAAATATAATTGTTCAATAAAGAATAGAAAATATTTTGATTTAAATATTTCAACTTAAATAGATAACATAATAAAATTTATTAGTATATATATTTTATGTTTTCAAGGAAAAAATTATTTTTTTTTAATGTAGGATTTGAGATTTATTAGTATATATACTCTATATTTACAAGAAAAAAGCACTCATCAGTATATATATTCTATATTCTCAATAAAAAAGTTATGGTTTTTTTAATACGGAATAAAAAAAACTTTTTGATTTAAACACTTCAACTTAAAAGAATAATATAGAATTTTTTAATACGGGATTTGAAACTTATTAGTATATATACTCTATGTTCTTAAGAAAAAAATTTATTATTTTTCAATGTGGAATATGAAACACATTAGTATATATTATATGTTCATTAAAAAAAACTATTTTTTTAATATGAGATTTGAAATCTATTAATATATATATTTTATATTTTAAAAAAAAAATTATATTTTTTGAATGTAAAATAAAATTCTTTATTTAAATATTTTAACTAAAAAATTTAATATAATATATTTTTAATGTGGAATAAATGAATATTATGGGTTCTGCTGGTAAGGAAATAGCCCGCGAGCACCCTTTTGTCCGGGTTTTCAAGCTTATTAGGTTACTCTCTTTTGTCCGGGTTTTCAAGCTTATTAGGTTCTCCACTAGTGCCAGCATCATTTCAAGGCTCAGATACTGGAGTCTTATCCAAGGACATCACCATTTCACGAGACCCTTCTATCTCAGCAAGACTCCACCTCCCAAAGCTCATTGAACCTCACGAGAAACTCCTCATCTTCGTCTACTTCCATGGTGGAGGCTTCTGCGTTGAGTCTGCCTTCAGCTTGGCAGAAACTAAATTCATGAGAAGCTTGGTTTCTCTGTTCATATGACGCTAATCAATAACAGGCTTATGAAGACGTTAACGTTTAATACAGATACCACCGATAACTAAAAACGTCATTCACTATTAGGACTGGTATCCTATCATAGGATATACCATTTCCCCAGCATGGTAATTGCAAATAAAAATTAATTATATTTATTCATTTTCATGTATCTTATATTTTTTCTATTTTTTTGTTTTTTAAGAAAAACATAGATAAATGAATATTATGAAAATATTGTTGAGAAAAAAATAATTTAAGTGTGGTCAATATTGATGAATGAACTAATATACCTCTCATTTTATTTTAAATTCAAAATTAACATAATTTTAGCTTGATTATAGCCAATGAAGGAATTCTTGCTCCGTTAAGAATCAGACTACAAGCACCCTAAATTGCCATTTCTCTATAAAGAATTGATGCCACATAGGTTCCATTAATTTAGGTCTAAGCCCACCAGTCTTGGTTTAGCATGGACCTTTGCTTGAACAAAAAGGTTTCCAATTGGGTACATTCAAGCCTTCCCGTCCTAACCTAGTAATTTTAGATTTCGGCCTTCATAGAGGCCCAAGTGACTTTCACTTGTATAAATTAATGGGCCGCTGGCACCCTCATTCCACAAAACCAATCAGAACCGTCTAATTGCCCCAGAAACCCCTCCCCGCCCTCCACGTCATCAACTCAAAACCCTAAAAGCACCCTCCCCCTTATAACCCTATTTTACTCGGCCCCTTCTTCCCCACTTCCCCGCGTGAGCTTTTAGGCGCTTGGCTGCAACCAAACCCCCAAAAGAAAACCCTAGCCAACCAACCATGGCGGCGCCGAAAGAGTCCGTACAGTGCTTCGGCAGGAAGAAAACAGCAGTCGCAGTCACCCACTGCAAGCGCGGTCGCGGCCTTATCAAGATCAACGGCTGCCCAATCGAGCTAGTTGAGCCTGAAATCCTCCGATTCAAGGCCTATGAACCGATCCTTCTCCTAGGAAGACAACGTTTTGCTGGAGTGGACATGAGGATCCGTGTCAAGGGTGGAGGACACACGTCTCAGATCTATGCGATCAGGCAGAGCATAGCGAAGGCACTTGTGGCGTTTTACCAGAAGTATGTGGATGAGCAGAGCAAGAAGGAGATAAAGGACATTTTGGTGAGGTATGATAGAACTTTGCTGGTTGCTGATCCAAGAAGGTGCGAGACTAAGAAGTTTGGTGGACGTGGTGCTAGAGCCAGGTTCCAGAAATCTTACCGTTGATCAAACAAGACAGAAGGAGAGGTTTTATGTTTTGATGTTGTTGGACGAAGCGTTTTGATTTGGTTATGCCATGCTTATGGATTTTGCTTCTAAGTATGTTGGATTTTAGGCAAGGCATATTATGATTATTAGTATTACTGCTATGGATTTTCTTATGTCGTATGAATTTATTAAGTTTACCGAATTGCAATTCTTGGTTTCTGATTTGGTTGTGCTTGTGATTAATTGTTTGCATGCATTAGTTGTGATTTGCTCTCTGGATTGTGCTTATGGAAGTTGAGTTTAGGAATCTCTTAATTCTTATCTGTGAATTAAGTTGCACCAAATCTGGCTGCATATAATTGTGATAAGAGTAGTTGCATAACGCTTACAGTAATACAATATAGGCTTAGTTTTTCAGGGAAAAATGAGCCTTTTTAAGATTATTCATTCTGGGGAAGATTGGGGGGGGTTGCTTTTGTAAATGGACATTTTTGTTTTTTTAACGTGATTTGTAAATGGACATTTTTGTTTTTTTAACACAGATGGTTTTAACTGGCAAATTTATTATAGGGACTAGTAGAGATTTGGTACTGGAGTAAACATGTGGTTAAGGACAAATCTGCTTGTAGAATGTTGGGTTAGCACAGGTTAGGAATTTGGTGTTTGATGTGTATATAGTCTAATTACTTGGAGAATCTTTTTTGTTGATTTTGATTTTTGCTTATGCAATTAGTTTACGCTTTAGCTGGGATTCTCCAGTTAGTGCTGGATTCCTGGTTTTTGGAGGTGTTAATGCCTAATATTTTGTGGATGCTGTTTTGTGCTGAATGATCCTTTTGTCCATTTTTCTGTGCTTTAATTAACTGAACTATGGGGTGTAGAGGGGCTGTCAAGACCAACTGATACGATAGTGGTTGATCACCTAATATCACGTTTAGGGCGACACCAGTTGGAGAAATGAAAGAAAAAGAATAGCCATCTGGTTGGATATTCCAATCGAATCTGCCATTTTAGAGCTTCTCTTTGCGTCAGCTTCGACATTTCATATCTTCCAGGCATGATTGCTAGTCACAGGGCTACCGTCAATCCTTTTTTCATTATGAATTCGGTTTTTTTTCTCCGCCACATTTATGAACCGCGATGCTCATGCAACAATGATCGCCTTTGCATGGTAGATTGAGCGACAACTTTGTGTGGTGAGTTTTTATTGCCTCGCTGGGTTAAATTTTTGTATTAGCCCTTTTAACTTTGGCCCACCTTTGAGCCTGGAGGTATATGGCTTGATCTTGTCCATTTAAGGTATCATGAAACAAGATAAGAGACAGAAGAAGAGGCATGAATATTTGGATGTTCATTATTAACTACAAAAAGCTAAGCTTTCACTGTGAAACCTGGCTGGCAACAGATCTGGTATGTACTCTAGCTGCTCAACAAGCATTCCCACCTAAAAGAAGAATTTATTGACATAACTATTCACCACCAGCAGGAAGCTCCTGAGCATCAAACACCCCCCCACCCTTCATTCTCACCAAGTAGTCGAACTGCCACTGATGTTTGGCTCTGAGATTCAGTGGCCAACAATTCATCCATGTCAAAAAAGATGTATCATCATCGAAGCTGAACTAATCCACTACCAAAACCAGCCACCATAACTATAACCTGGGCATTATGGATCCATATTTCATACAAAAAGCACTTTGCTTCTCAATCCCACTCCATACCTGTTCACTAACCATTTCCTTGCCAAGATAAGGAATAAGTGCTTCATCATCGATGATCAATACTAGTATCTAATAGCTATTTTCTAGCATCTTTGTTTTGTGTTACATTATAATTTCTCTAGAAAGACTCTTGTTTTTAAGTTTCCTCGAGATCTCCTAAAATGGTACATAAATGTACTACCTACTTCTGGATTAAAAACTAAAGAGGAGAGCATATCAACACAGACAATACTTCCCGAAAATGATATAATCAAGACAATACCTGAAAAGATCCACTCTTTTTTCTTGATTTGTGTAGAGAAACTAAATTGTATAAATATCAGATAATCATACAAATGCCAAAAGTTGGAATTAGCTAATCAAGACAATACCTAATAGATTCACTCTTTTTTCTTGATTTGTGGAGAGAAACTAAATTATATAAATATCAGACAATCATACAAATGCCAAAAGTTGGAATTAGCAAAACTAATTCGATCAAAAATAATGAATACCCACTAATATTAACATCAAACTCAAAAATTATATAAAAACCATAATCCAAAAACTACATAATGAGCCAATACCAAAAATA